CTACCTGATTATGTTTCTAGGTTTGTCAGCACCATACCCGTGCTCGTGGGTTTGACCGAAGTGGTAAACGTCTGAGACCTGCATCACTTCGGGCTTCCCTCCCTCATTCAGCTGACACACCGTGATATAACTGGAATACTGTTAAAAGCGGCGTTAAACCCAACTCACTCACTCACTCTAGAATTACACCCCTGTCGAGCTTAATGTGTGATCTTCCCCGCGATCTGCTAGACTAACCCTTAGTCTCTAAAAATATATAATTTTGATAGTAACACGCATCTACATGTAATTAAAAAGGGGCCCAGTGTGATGGGAGATTCAGAACCTGAGGAAAATCTAGACTTGCTTCATGTATAGCTATAATAAGGGCTGGGGAGAGGGAAAATAATAAGGTTCGGGGACTGTGAGACAGTCTAGTGATCTGCTTACCATGAAACATTCGCTATTTGAGAGCATTGTCGGCAGGTGGGCATGCCGTTGAATTGGAATTATATTGTGATTTGTGCACACAAGACCTGTGTTGAGCGAGAACCGTCGGTCTTTCGCTGGCAGTGTCAATGCTATTGATCAGTGAAGGCGTTCGGCTTCAGTAATTCCGATCTCATTGCTTCTAAATGATTCACGTTGTTGTGTGTATATTTAGCGGGTGGCTATGTATAGTTGAGTAACTGGGACGGTGTTACCTATACCAAAAAAATAACGTATACTGAAATACATAAGAAACGCAACGTGTCATTTCCCTTTTTCCTGTGGAATGTGAATAATTTGAAGATGCAGGTGCATACGTGTTTATATGTGTTTGTGCGTGCGTGTGTGTGTGTGTGCGTGCGTGTGTGCGTGCGTGCGTGTGTGCGCGCTGGCGTTAAACTATTTGTATTGGTCCGGGTTTATTATGCCACAGTTTAACAAGGCTATCCGATATGATGCGACCAGGGTATTGAACCACCGCCCTTCCGTCCGCCGAGTAGACGCTCTATCCACTGAACCAAGGAGACCGATTGAAGATACAGAAGATAAAAGTTCCTCAAACATCAAGCTGACACGCTATGACTGAAATACTGCACAAAGCAGCGTTAGTGAGTGAGTGAGTGAGTATGGTTTTACGTCGTTTTTAGCAATATTCCAGCAATATCACGGCGGGGGACACCAGAAATTGGCTTCACACATTGTACCCATGTCGGGAATAGAACCCGGGTCTTCGGCGTGACGTGCGAACGCTTTAACCACTAGGCTACCCGACCGCCCCAAAGCAGGGTTAAACCCAACTATCTGATTCGCTCGTTACGCCGAAGTCCCGGGTTCGACTCCTCATACCGGAACAAGGTGTGAAGCAAATTTCTGGTGTCCCTCGCCGTGACATTGCAGGACTATTGCTAAAAGCGTCGCAAACCATATATTCACTCACTGACTCAACGTTGACCTATAATGTGCCACCAGTATTATTACATAAAGTCATTAAGTTCTGTATCAATAAAGCACATTTGTCAAACGCGAAATTGTCGCTTTACCCTTGGAGTACATTACATCACCATAAACATGCTCGAAACAGTATACCTCTATCTCATACTCCTCGCTATAAGGACGAAGCCGATACACGTGGAATTATAACTTTCCTGAGTCGATATTATTGTCTGCTACAGGTGATCTCAATCAAAATGTGATACCCGGCTAAGCACATACAACACGATAGTAAAACTCGGCATTCTACATTATTCAGTGTATTTTATCTCCATTATATTAGGATGAATACAATTGCTATATTCGCAACTCTATTGTGCTTGTCGTAAGAGGCGACAAACGGGATCGGGTGGTCAGGCTCGCTTGATGGTTGATGCTTGTCATCGTATCCCAATTGCGCGGGTCGATGCTCATGATGTCAATCACTGGATTGTCTGGTCCAGGCTCCATTATTTACAGACCGCCGTCATATAGTTGGAACATTTCGGCGTTCAACAACAAACAAACAACATAGCTTTACCAAGGTATTATAGGATGAGCTTAGTATTACTTACTTCTTAGCCTACCTCTAACCTGACTGGTGTTTACGTGTGGTCAGTGATTTGTATTACAGTTGATCAGATTACTATCAGAGGCATTAGCGTGTGTATTTGATAACTTTGAACTACATGCGTATATCAGAAGTTGTTGACCTTTGCCTTTGTGAACCTTGGCACAGTTAAAGTGCATGAAGAATAATCGTCACTGAGACCGGGGTCATCACGTACAGTTTTCTTCTTCTTTTATGCAGCGCATGCAATTGATTTATGTCCGAAGACAGGATATCAAAGATCACTAATAAAAAGGATTTGTGTTCACGTCATTGTGTTAACTGACGGGGTTTACCTCTGGTCAACGGCGCCGCAACTCTCTGCACCAGACCCGTTGTTCCGAATCCAAGCTCCAGTCTGATTATAATCGGGGCGGTCGGGTAGCCTTGTGGTTAAAGCGTTCGCTCGTCACGCCGAAGACCCGGGTTCGATTCCCGACATGGGTACAATGTGTGAAGCCCATTTCTGGTGTCCCCCGCCGTGATATTGCTGGAATATTACTAAAAGTGGCGTAAAACCATACTCACTCACTCACTCTGATTATAAGCCCTGATCCGTCAGCGCAAGGCATAACGATGGTTAATGTCTTCCCTTGGCGTCAATCTGCATTTATTAAAAAATGGTGTCCATGTACCCGATAATTGTGTTAAGAGATGAATTAACATTTCGATTTCGTGGATCGCTGCGCATGATTTCCGTCACTGGATTGCCAGGCCGCCTTGACAGAGCTGGAATATTGCCGCGGCATTAAACAACACTCTCTCATTGTTTCCTAAATACAAATCAAACGCACTCTCTGATATCATTTAAATGAGTTAAAGGGGCCGTGTTAGCAAAACTCATTCTTTAACTCCACTATTAATTTGTGATTCGGGTTGCCTTTAATCACAATCGGCGTGTACCGGAAGTATGTTCCAGATCCATGTATTTATGAACGTTGAAAGATATATTGCAACGTCTGGTAAATATATTACCTGAGATAACATTTCAGAAAACAAGGTAAGACGCTCCTGTTTGGAATTTTCATTTGTATTAATGTAAAACTTAGCATTAACAAGTGACTCCTACGATGCAACATCACCACTTCCGGCTACTTAATTCCTTGACTCGTCCCAGTCCAACTGTAACTGGGCTGTTATGTAGTTAGCGAATACGCCGAGTGGACCCAAGAGGATCCGAATGGCAATGGTTTCAGAAGAAAAACGTTTCATAAATATCCCGTTCAACAAGCAATTTTATTGATAACCTATTTTTGAGATGCTCCCTCTTGCACTGTATGATGTCATTTGATCATATTTACATGCATACTTGTGACGATCATAAAGAGTGCTGCGCATCTATTTTGAAACCAAACAAGCACACGCCATCTGCATCAACAAAGATACTGCACCATGGCATACTACTGTCAGAACCGGAGAATGTTTCCAGGTAAATCGTCGGCGTGTTTTGTCCTAATTCAAACATAGTTGGCATTCAGGGTGAGAATAGGTTCCCAGCATCCATGCATGTGCTAGGAGTTATGGGGATCGGGTGGTCAAAATGGCTGATTGTTTTTCAGAGCCACGGCGGCATGGTTCGTTCGTAGCAGAGTCGATATTAACCATCGTCAGCTCGATCAAAGGGATAGGCCGCCGTCATATGTCTGTAATATTGCTAACTCGATGTCATACAAAATTCACTTCATCAGATAAAACACAGGGCGTGGCCTAGATTGTTTATTTACGATGAGTGAGTATGGTTTTACGCCGCTTTAAGCAATATTCCAGTCATAATACGGCGGGTGACACCAGAAACGGGCTTTAACTATTGTCGGGAATCGAACGCAGGCTTAAGCGTGACGAGCGAACGCTTTCGCTTCTCGGCTACCCGGGGCGTTAGGGTAGCCTAGTGGTTGAAGCGTTCGCTCGTCACGCCGAAGACCCGGGTTCGATTCCCGACATGGGTACAATGTGTGAAGCCGTTTCCGGTGTCCCCCGCCGTGATATTGCAGGAATATTGCTAAAAGCGGCGCAAAACCATATCCACTCACTCACTCTAGGCTACCCCATCATCCCTGATTAATATCTGTGCTGTGGGGTGTGAAACAACATTCACTTACTCACTCACTCACTCACTCACTCACTCACTCACTCACTCACTCACTCACTCTAGGCTACCCCATCATCCCTGATTAATATCTGTGCTGTGGGGTGTGAAACAACATTCACTTACTCACTCACTCACTCACTCTAGGCTACCCCGTCATCCCTGATTAATATCTGTGCTGTGGGGCGTGAGAAACAACATTCACTTACTCACATAGTCTATACACATGTGAAAGAGATCGAACACTGCTCTGTTTAGAAGCAAGACACTTGAAGGTCAATGCGATTTTCAATACAAATCAATGACACGGAATCACAACTCGAAAAGCATCCATTCATAGTGCAGTGAATAGAACCCAACACACGACAAAGGTATATGTTTCGATACCGGTATGGATAACGGGTTGGAATTGGTCCATAACAACCAATGTTGGTCGGAAGAGGGGATGGCAGGTCACCATGCCCCGACGGCGTGGATCGATGCTCATCATATCAATCACTGGATTGTCTGGTCCAGACTCCATTATTTACAGACCGCCGTTATATAACTGTAATTGATGAGTGTAGCGTTAAACAACAAATAAAGAAACACAAAGCTTACGTTTGGAAAGTACCTGAAAAAACCATCAGACATATGGCGGAAAAGGGAGTTCGAAATGTTCTTTGTAATGCTTAAGTCGGGCGCCATTAGATATGTATGTAAATGACCTAATATTGCATTAGTGCCTAGAGCTTAGTGTAAGTCAGTCATGCTAAGCACTGTCAAAATGGATCACTTCTCGCAACTAATACTGTTACGTTGTCAAAGTTAATATAATAATTAACATTTGTTCTGATTTGGCCACTTTACCAAGCACGAACAGGACACTCTAGGATCCGGCCCTGTCAGAGAAAGTCACACCAACAGTTGCACAGCCATTTTTGCCAAAACGTGTCTCCAAGAGGGCTACCTCTTCCCACAGTTGGCTGCATGTGACCGCTGGCCTAGAACTGTTATCTTTCGTAAACGTGTGCGTACTTTCCCTTCTTAATGGACAGTGAAGTCGACAGTGCTGTATCGCTGATATGGGACCGTGATTATGAAAAGGACTATAGGCCTACAGCTGATATGAATACTCAGGTGTAGATGTCAGAACTGGATTTGGCTATCGACTATATACAATATGGCGTCAATTGGGGACATTCCTACTACAATTGTTACTGAGTTTCTTAATTCCGATACCAGGGAAACGAGTCTTGTCGACGCAGAGGATCCCAAAAAAGTTAAGGTAGGGTGCGTTTGTATTCATGCTTTTAACCGTCATTGCTTCGTGCGGGACGTGCCACTTCGCAACACGTGCAAGAGGCGCCAAGACTTCCGTACCCCTTTGGTGCCACTGCAGTAAATTCTGTCCCAATCGGAACCCCGCGTTGATCAAAAGCCACCAATCTGCTACATTGACATCGCAATTTAAAAGTGTTGAGTTTATTTGAAGCCAGGCTTGTTGTGTGTATGAACACAGAAATAGTTTGTACGTGGAATCCAAGAATTCCTGCTGTTTTTGTTTGTGTATTGCCAAACTGTTTGGCAAGCATGAAAAGCGTGCAAATCATGACGGATATTTATAGCCAGGTGATTTTATCGTCCTCGCGTGATTCTGTGCACGTTTTCAACGCCCTGTTACACACATTGTAAGAAAGGCACTATCAATATTATGCAGGAAGGACTATCCGATTGTGTCAAACTGTGAAGATATAAAGTCATTTCACAGCTGATTGACACGCAGTTTAAATGAGGTGTTGAAATATATAGGGAGCGTTGATAGAATATTTTTTCTTCAACAGTGCACACGCATGGTGGCATACAGAGGGAAACCATAAACTCTCTTGTCGGTTGAAATAATTCTTAGCGTGGCGGTATTTGCAGGTAATTGTTAGGTGCATAAATTCACTAGTGGACCGAAATAGTGAAATAAGAATGTTTAAGGTGACATGAGGTATGTTTTTCCCCATGGAAGTATTCCAGACTTGAGTGTTCCATGTTTTGCCAAAGTGGCAAGACATCTGTTTATCAACAGAACGGTCTCATGCTATTTGGTATGGGAATCTGTATGCCTGGAATTGTGTTGTCTTTGAGTGCTGAGAATATATGTCTCACAACAGCTTGATAATATGTCAAATTATTGTTTACTGTTCATATTCATGTGGCAATATTTTGCTTCATTTCATTGTACAAATGAATAGTTAGATATATGAATCAAGATTTACTTATATTGTTTATTAGAATTGTGATTAAATATGAAAAACCAAATGAAAATAAACTAAGTTAAGAATGGTAAAGACTGGGGTAAATTTGCAATAATGTTTAGATATTTAAAACAATATTTTACTCAACTGCAAGTGAAAGATTTGGAAATTCTCAAATTCAATCTATCAAAGACTGTTGACACAGCAATATGGTATCAAGTTCAATCTGCAAATGAAGGACTATTAACAATCACATGTTTCTGTTATGCAAATCATGGTTAAAACAAATATCACAAAATCTTGTTTGGTCAATTGGTCATTAGAATGATGATTATCAAAAACAATAGGACTTAAAACTACACTAATGCAATTATCTATGTAAGAAAAGTTAAAGGATTTGTATTTTTGAAATTTGGTGACATCTTTCCACTACATCAGTGACAGTGATGGATTAGTTTCTTGACTGCCGAGTTCCCATGGAATGCAAGGTAAAGATGTTTCCGTTGTCTAATCCTGCAGGATGATAAGCTGACCATCTACATGACTGTTTAACCCGTGAAGATCCGGGTAGAATAGGTCTTCAGCAACCAATGCTTGCTATAACAGGCGACTATGCTTGTCGTAGGAGGCGACTAACGGGATCGGGTGGTCAGGCTCGCTGACTTGGTTTAAGCATGTCATTGATCCAGATTGTGGGATCAATGCTCATGATATCAATCACTGGATTGTCTGGTCCAGACTTGGTTATTCACAGACCGCCGTCATATAGCTGGAATATTGCCGAGTGCGGCGTTAAACAACAAACAAACATACCAAAAGATGGTACTTATTGTTTCCTTGTCTATTGCATGGCATTTTATTTATATAACAAAGACAGGACGGAGAGGAGTCAGTATACTGTGTATAAGTCGGGTATCCATGTTAAACTGCAGCATGGTATCTCAGTGGGCTAGCACTATAAAACCGGCATTAGTCTGGACAGATACAAGCAGCCACACACACACACATCGCAATATAAGTGAATAATCTTGAATGAGACATTAAACCCCATTTCACCTCACCTCACCATCAACATCCAACATAGGAAAGTAAACGCCCTTATGGTAAAAGTTGATGTCACATACACTTACAGTGATATACACCTATCAGATATAGGCCAATAGTTGTGACATGTTTAATGCAAATAGCCCTTCAGTGTATAAATGGATCAAGGTTTGAGGAGCACTCAAAAACACTTGAAACCAATGGCTGTTATCTGTGGGTAGTTGGTCGTGGCCGTACAGAGAAGATACGGTATTATCTCTGTTCCACAGTGAAGGGCTTTCAGTCAAAGACTGCTGGTGACGGTTCCTTAATTCTCAGTATTCTGAGACTATTCACAAGGCAATTGTGGCCCTACAATTGACAGGACTCCCATACTTCGACATAGATTAAGGTAGCTGTGTCACCAGGATATTTTTGTGAGCCTGGATTATTGAACTGTTGTAAGGGTTTTGTGGGATTTGTTTTTAGGATTTGGCTCAAAGGCGAATGAATGTAATCATTTTTGGAATTCTTTTTTAAGTATCTATTTTTACAAGGTTCAATGACCTGATGGTGTTGGAGTGGTTAATGATGTTCATTCTTATACTGATGTCTTCATTGGGTCGGACCTATGAAGATCTGGGATAGAATAGGTCTTCAGCAACCCATGCTTGTCGTAAGAGGCGACTAACGGGATTGGGTGGTCAGGCTTGCTGAATTGGTTCATGCATGTCATCACATCCCAATTGTATGGATCGATGCTCATGATGTCAATCACTAAATTATCAGGTCCAGACTTGATTATTTACAAGCATATATTGTGGGTTCAGATTAGTTTCTGCTTCAGGTTTCATGTTATAGGTGACGCTATGATGTAAGTGAAATACTGTTCAAAGCAGCATTAAATCCAACTCACTCACTCACTCAACATGAAGATATTATGAAAGGCCCTTGATGAATCTCCAGCTACAGAAAAGGATACAATTAATGTTATAAGAAAGCATTACACTGTTTTCAAAGGAAACATAATTTGGCTCTTAAATGCCATTGGTTGAATTAAATAATAATCCTGGGTACAATTAACTCTCAGCAATAAATTGAGATGGTACAAGGCATGAAAACATGCTAGAAGAATTTAACTTGTTGGGATTCAATTTTAGATTGTAAAAATAAACAACAGACATTCTGCACTTAGTGTGTATTTAATGTTTACAGCCAATGGAATCTGTTTCAGTGGATAATCAAGACTGGTTATTCTCTGGCGTTGATGTTGTATATTTACCAGAATAAAAATGCCAGTTGTATGTAACATGCAGTCCACAGTTTTAATTAGTTTTAACGATTCAAACAGTCCTACTTCTACAGGGCTCAATTTAACTATATAAAACTTGCACCAGCGCAAACCTTTATTGACAAGTGATGCCTAATATTTATGTCTACATGCACCAAGTGCATGGTAAAACATTCAAATTTGTGTCTGACTCAGCCTTACTTTTCCACACAAGAATCTGGTTTTGTCTGTGCAACTAAGTTTTCATATCAACATGCACCTGGTGCAAGTTTAATCAGGTTCCTTAAATGAAGGCCTGCTTTTGTCATCCTTCAGGACTGAGAAATGTGCTTTATTAGATCAATTTACAATTTGTGTCCATATTTTGCATCTGGTTGATATAGTGAAAATAGTTCTGTGTGATAGGGGCGGTCGGGTAGCCTAGTGGTTAAAGCGTTGGCTCGTCACGTCGAAGACCCGGGTTCTAATCCCGACATGGGTACAATGTGTGAAGCCCATGGCATTTCTGGCGTTCCCCGCCGTGATATTGCTGGAATATTTCTAGAAGCGGCGCAAAACCATACTCACTCACTCACTCTGTGTGATAATTAGGTAGCAATGAACAAGAGATGAAGATATGTGGAACTTTGTTTATTATGGGTGGAGTCAGACTCGTGAAAATCCAGGTTAGAATACATCTTCAGCAACCCATTTTTGCCTTAAAGGCAACTATGCTTGTCGTAAGATGCAACTAACGGGATCAGGTGGTCAGGCTCGCTGACTTGGTTGATGCATGTCATCACATCCGAATTGTGTGGATCGATGCTTATGATGTCAATCACTGGATTGTCTGGTCCAGACTCGATTATTTACAGAACTCTGTCATATAGCTGGAATATTGCTGAGTGCGGCGTTTAACCAACCAACAAACAAACAAACAAATATTGTTGGGGATGAGGCTTCTAACAGAATAGCCAGGGATATAGATTCAAGGAACACCTGTGCTTACATCACATGAATGCAAGGCCTTAGGTTGTATTGAACAAGTGGGATGAAAATTGATATAACAAGAATATTTAACTTAATTTTATACCACATTTGCTAGAATATACATGTAACATGAATAAGTCAATGCCATGATAATATGGAGAGAACCTACAACAGATGCTGGCTTTCACTGTGATGATGCATGAATCCAGCATATTCCAAAATACTCTGATTTTCTGGGAGTCGTATGACACAACATGGTTTTTTCAGTATACATACTTATATGTAGTTTCTAAAACATCAAAGGGCTTGTTACAGAAATTGTTTGTTTTCAATATAACATTTCAACAGAATATTTCAGATGTTATGTTGTTAATATCTTGTAGTTTAAAGGAGGTCCATGTTCCATGATCTGGAGCCTATTTTTGGTCTCTGTTGGGTCTGTAAATAATAATAATAATCATCATCATCATCTTAATCATAATCATAATGCTCATGGCGCTACATAATTATCACCTCGGTCAATGGATGAGTTTAATTTTCATTCTCAGCTCCTCTGGGATTATACAACCAAAGCTGCCTGTGAGTTTTATGCGATGCAGAAATATGCGTCCATTACACACAAACGTATAGAATGGATGCAGAAAATAATATATGTTATACCAAACTCTTGACAAGAATATATAAAGTTCCTTTGATTAAAGTAATTACTAAATCTTACAGTACAGTGCACCATTTCATTACTTTACAGGACACTCATAT